GCCACAAACGCCGTCCTCCATGTCAGCCTGAAGAGGTTCAGCCTGGAGGTAGGGGTGGCAAGGAATCAATCCAATTATATCTGATTCGGTTGTTAGTTTGGCAATTTATAAATGACATTCAGTATTCTCGATTCACAAACAGATGGAATTTAACCAGAATTCGTTTGATTATGAACCCTTCATTTAAATTTTGATCCCCCATATGACTTCTATTATCGCAGACATTATGATGTATTTTTGACCCACTTACACACATATAATTTTTTTCCCTTTAAGTTCTGTACCAAATTTAACCAAATTCAGCTCGTGGGTCTCTACATCATAATTGCAAAGGAACAAAATTATCACTAAATAAATATTCTTTAGTATTCCGTAAATACTTATGAATATTTGAAAAATATATATTAGTGCTCGAACTTGAAGATTCTAAGCGAATTAAAACATATATACATTAGAAATTTAGAACCCTAAGCTTCCAATTCGTACTCGGTTTGTTTTCAGCACTACGTACCTGTGCGTGGTGAAAGGAATGCGCACGTCTTTGCTGATGAAGGTGGAATTAGGCCAAGATTGCAGGGCCCACTTCTCGACGAAGGCGAAGAGGGGTTGACAGTAGACTTGGTAGGCTCCGATGAGGTGGATGACGACGGCGGCGTTGGCGATGTCAAAATGGTGATTTCTTGATAATCTTGAATAGTTTTAATCTTTTTTATACGGAGAGTGGAATTAAGTGGCGTTTGTGTGTTTCGCTTAAAATGGTGATTTCTTGATAATCTTGAATAGTTTTAATCTTTTTTATACGGAGAGTGGAATTAAGTGGCGTTTGTGTGTTTCAAAATGGTGATTTCTTGATAATCTTGAATAGTTTTAATCTTTTTTATACGGAGAGTGGAATTAAGTGGCGTTTGTGTGTTTCGCTTTCTGATATGATATGCGCTTCATAAATCATGGAACTCGTTACTAGTAGATTAGGTGCAATGAAAAAATTATATAGCATTTAATTGGCTAATTACGTGCCAAATAACATTTTTGTTTTTTTTTGGCGACCCCAGCAAATAGTTTTAATGTTTGGTTCGCTATTATAAGGGGTGGAAAACTCAGAAAACCCCTCCACATCAGATTTTTAGCCCTCCACGTCAGCTTTTTAGTTTCCGTCCATTTCTTTGTGCCGCTTTGGTTCGCTCGAATGGAAGAGGGAAAACTCTGCTGAAATCGCCGCCAACTAAGATTTTTTTCCCTCTCCGATTTCCTTCCCCAACCAAGTGAAATTGATGAAAACTCTGCCACGTCAGATTTTTTTCCTTTTCTGCTTTGTTTACAAAAGTTTTTCTTTTTTTTCTATGCGAATCAAACACAAGAAAAATAAATACATTGGTTTCCCACCATTTTTTATGTGCGAACCAAAACAAAACAATCTATTTCTTGAAAAAGTTTGGAAAACTCAAAACTTGTGTTTTTTTACATGGAATTGCATTTCTCTATATCAAGGAAACGAACCAAACAACCCCTAAAGAGAAAACATGTGAGAAAAATCCTCCAGAATTTTATAATAATATGGAAAACTTATTCTCTCCATTACACTCCAAAAATACACAATCCTCTTTAATGGCTGCTCTATTCTTTTTGGAGCAACAATAATCATAAACAATTCTAAAACCCACAAATTACTTTTCTTTCCCTTCTTCTACTATTTAATTTTCTAGCGTATAAATTGAGGAATAACACCTAATTGCGGCCATAATCATACATATTCAGTTCTTAGTGATACTGAGTGACTCAAATCCCCAATTTGAAGACTGTGATCACCAATTGAGACCCTTCGGATCCCATTAGCATCAGCGAAGCTAAGATCCCTGCACACGTCAACGCCAAACATCACCCTCGCTTGCCCACCTGCTGCCACGTGTACCTTATCAAACGCGACCAGTTGTTTCTGTGGGGCCCTGTGTCCTTGCGGCGGGTTAGAGTACACCAGCACCGTGTGTGCCCCGTCAACAACACCCTCGTTCTTGACGTCCACGTGGACGGGGATGGTTAGGCCGTCGCACCGGAGATGCGTGACTCGGACCGCCCGATTCAATTCGGCAGTCGAGTTGAGGACTTCG